TATAGTTTTGCGGATATAAATATAGTTTTTTATCAGTTGAATATCTATTTATGCATAAAGAAAATAATTGGCATATTATTTTCATTTTTTAAAATCTTTAACTTATTTCTATCTAAATAAATAAATGCCTGCGATGTTATAAATTATATATTTTTAATAATCATCATCTTCATATACTAAATCTTAGACCAAACCATTTTATATCAGACTCAATTTACTGAAATAACTACATACTATTTTACTTTATAGGATAGATATGTACTTATGTACATATTTTTTTCTCTTTCATAATGAAATGAGTGATAATAATATATTTCATATTTTGTATAATTGTGTGTACATATTAATATTAATATAATTGGACATTTCATATTTAATAACAATGAAATAATTTTATTACACAAACAAACATTAATATTCTCTTATTTTCCCTTTTTGTATGAGTTGGAAATGTATTAATTCATGTAAGGAAGAGGTAAAGAAATTAAAATTGCAAGTATATATGATAAAAATAAACTAATTATTAATATTTATTTAAGAACATCTTTGATTCCAGTTTATCATAATGTTACACTTTTTTTACTTTTTTTTTTAGAGGTAGCAGGTATTTAAAAAAGGTTTCGGAGATAAAATTATGAATAGGTGTTATAATGTGGTGTTCACTCTGGTACGCGTATTTGTTCAAATTATTTTTGATTCTACCATGGTACTCAAAATTTAATGCAAATGTTATTTTGAAGCAGGCATCAACAATAATTATTAATTATTAATTTTCAAAATTAATATTTTTTAACTTGTTTATATCTTTTAGTATTAAATTTTCATCTTGAAATACGAATTTTATTTTTAAAACTTTGATTAATTTCTTTTTTATCGGTTTTATTTTCAAATTTTCAGTTCTTAGAAGCTAAAATGTAGTAAAAACATACAAAAAAATCTGATGTGGTCAGCACATAACCGACCGCATTGTGTGTTGTCTAGTTAAATGAAAGTGTTACAGAATATTATAAAAATGTCTGTTAAATACTTTTTTTCAATTTTTAGGACTTTAGTAAGCTCATAGTTAATATACCTAGAAAAATGTAAATTTGGCTCTTAGTAAAATTTCGCTTTGTGCTACCCGAATTCCCTGAAATGCTCGCCAGTAAGTTTCGGTAACAACCAGAACTCAAATATCAAATTTCAAGAAATTCCATCAATTCGTTCCGTAGATATGGTGAAAAATGTAAAATCGGCCCGCACATCAGTTTGCGAGCCCTGATCTTTCCAAAAAATTTATATATTCATTGCTTTAGTATGAGGAATTCATATATTAAATTTTAATGAAATCGGTTGATTATTTCTCTTTATATACACAAAAGTGTATGTTTGGCCCGTAGTAAACGTCTAGTTGCCGATGCCTGATCTTTCCAAAAAATTTTCATGTTCATTGTTTTAATATGAGGAATTCAAATATTAAATTTCAATGAAGTTGGTTGATTATTTCTCTTTATATACACAAAAATGTATATTTGGCCCGTAGTAAACGTCCAGTTCCCGATGCCTGATTTGCTCCAAAAGCTAGGAATTTTCACGGACGGTCGAGCAAAGCTCATATATGAAATTTCAAGTAAATCGGTTGAATATTTTCTTCAAAATGGTGAAAAATGTAAAACAGGCCCGGTAAAAAGTGCAGTTCCCGAGGCCTGATATATACCAAAAGTTGATCGATCCGTGCCATGGTAGAAATAAACTTACATATAAAATTTCATCAAAATCGGTTCAGCCGATCTTGAGATACACGCGTGCACACACAGACCGACAGACCGACAGGTTGCTAAAAATAGTCTACTTACACTTCCTCCTTGTAACGGTATACCAGCGGCTACAAAGGTTTTTTTGTTTCAATGATATTCAAGTGCAAAGTCAAAATTTGTTAAAAACTTTTTTTATAAATTTTCTTTTAATCGTCATTTACTCATAATTCCACGTTATCAACCTATCATTTTTTTTACAGGAAGAAGAGCCCTATATTCTGACCTTCATTTTGATATAACATAATGTGGGGAAAATTTTAGATATAACATATCTATCACTATCAGGCGAAAACTCAGGCCAAAACCTTAGAAAATTAACTAAAACAAAGTATTTTTCAAACGAAAACAATTTTTTTTAATCTTTACTACGAAGTATTATGCATTATCAATATTTACTTTTTCTTTTGCCAAAATGAAAGACATTTGCATTACCTTTATTTCTCCATAAAGTATTTTCAAAAGTTTCAGGAATATCGTGTCTACGAGGATCAAACTTATAAAAAAACAAAAAAACGAGATTTTTCTCGACAAATTTGTTATAAGTATTATTCACCCTCTGATCTTCTGTGTATTTTGATATTATTCTAAAAATTCAATTATTGATCTTCAATTATAGTTAATGTGGAAAATTTTGATTTTCATATTTTTTAATTTAAAAATTATTCACACGTCCGCTCGCGCTAAATTCCTAAACAAAACTGTTCTTGTTAGCTCTAAATCGTCAAACTTTGTAAAAAAATGTATAAGCTAACTTATTTCACATAAGTACATAAGTGCGCTATACAAAATCACCAAAATTCTATCATGGATTTACAAAATGATGTACATACATACAAAATTTTGCTACAAAACAAAGCTAAAACTGACATTTTTGTTCGACAGGATTTGCTAGTTATGTTAAATTTATGCAACTAAAATTATAATTTGAAATATAAGTACTACTATAATCTAAATCTGAAATGATCTTCTGTAATGAAGTTTTTTTTAAATAATGGTCAAGAAATTTACTAGTAATGCATCACGTATTTTTTAGTCGTAGAATTTATTAAAGATTTAAAGTCGCTTTGCAATATTTAGCTTTCGAGTGAGTTTAAAAGGTACCTATTTATACAATACTCCTTGCTATAGGTAAACCTATACATAATATATTTGAGAGAAGCAGTTTCGCATACTGCTGCTAGATTAATATTTTTATGTTAAAAATGAATGTGTAATCCTCAAAATTTGAGTCTATAGAGCTTCTTTTTACTGCTAACAAAATATCTATATTTCCTACAACAACTTTCTTATTATGCATTTCAGTTAAAATTTTCTCTTTTACTTCCAAACGCTTACAATATAACGGTTTACACTATGTTTACATACATATATTTACTTAGTCTTGTATAATTACACGACTAAGATAATATTATTTGTAAGTTCAACACCACTTTAATATTATTTTAGAAATACTCGAAAACTAAAATATAGCGTGAGCTATTTTAATAATAAGGTCAATATTAATAAAAAATTGGTGTCATGAATTCGAATGGTAGTGCCATTCAACTGCTACAATGAGAAATTGGTACACATTTATATATTTACGTTAATTTTCGATTTGTTAACCCGTTTTTGCTCAAGAAAAAAAGAATATTTTGCTACAAAACATAGCTAAAATTGTCATTTTTTGTAGACCAAATGTTAGAGAGTTTAATTGAAAAAACTTCTTGTTGCTTAGATTGAAGTTAATTAATTTATTTATTAAAAATCTGATCTATTTATACAAAAATAATACTACTTAAAATTAATTATTTCCCACAGAAATAGACTAGTAAGCAATTTTATGCATTTATAAAATTCATAATTTTCCCATGTTAACTTAACGCATTTATCATATAGGTTTCAAATATACTTAAAGTAAAATTAACAAACAAAATATACATATGTAATTTGACTCCTACTAAAATATTGTGAAAAAGTTATGTTTGGGAAAATATTTACATTAACAAAAAAAATGTTTGCACATACATGTAATAATCAGTTTGACAAATTAGCAATTTTAGCAATTTTGGTAATTTAAATAAATTGAAAAATAATAATAAGAAATTTAGAATTCAAAATAATTGTTGTTACGCAACATTCTCCCTTTCAAGGGCAAGCGAGAAGTCTTGAGCCTTCTTCTGTCTGTAGATTTTTTGACGTTCAATTAGTTCTTCTATTACTGGCCTTATAGGAATCGAAGTTGGGTTAATAGTAAACTTGCTTTGTTTGCTTACTTTTGATAATTTATGCAAGGCCGCGCATTTTCTAGATGTTTTGTTCTAGTCGCGGTATTGAAAGTTTTTGCGAAAACGACGCCAACTTTGTTTTGGGGGTGATTAATGTTGATTTATAAATTTATAACCGTTTTATATACTACTCCGGCATATGCTCTACCAGAAGCGTCACAGAACCCATGAAGTTCAAGTGGTTTGGTTGAAGTGTAGAAAAGCCACCTTTGAACTTTTACATAATCTATAAATTGCAATTGGTTGCGAAAATTGATGTATTTATCATGTAGACGTGACGGTAATAGCTCATCCCAATCAATATTTTTGTTTCATATGTCTTGTAGAATCATTTTTGCGGCTAATACAACTGGTGCTAGCCACCCAAGTGGGTCGAAAATTCTGAAAATTTCGGAGATTACAATAATTTTTGTGATATATTTCGGTTTATTCGGCAGGTCGATTATTATTCTAAATTCGTCTTCTTTTGGGTATCATCATATTCCTAATATTTTACGTGACTCAGTTTGTATATTTCCCATTTCAACGCATTTTTTCGACACTGTATTGCTTACAAGTTGTGAGTTGTTACCTGCCCATTTGTCAAGTTTAAAGCCAGCGCTTTTTAGAATGTTTACAAGTTGTAGTTTGCCTTGTACGGTTTGTTTAACTGTATTGCTACTTGACATTACATCATCTACATACATATCGGTTCGTAAGATTTTTGCTCCCACTGGAAACGTATTTTGTTCATCTGTGCTCAGTTTAACAGAGTTTTCATTGCTAAATATAGAGCTGCAGCTGTTCCGTAGGTAACTGTGTTTAACGTATACCCTTGAATCGGATCATTTGGTGAATATCTCCAGACAATGTTTTGCATATTCCTGTCTTCGTCATTGATTAAAAACTGGTGATACATTTTTTCAATGTCTACCCTATAAACATATTTGTGTTTTCTTCATCGGTTTGTAACAGAAGTTAAATCTTGTTGAAGTTTAGGGTTTGTCCTCATGAAATCATTGATACTTATATTGTTTTGCGACTTACTGGATCCATCAAATACAACACGAAGTTTCGTGGTTGCGCTTTCTTCTTTTATAACTGCATGATGTGGTAAAAGGTATGATTCATCTTGGTTGCCTATATCACATCTTTTCATATGGTCTAAGTTTTTATATTCTCACATAAATGCTTTGTAACTTTGGGCAAGTTTTTGGTTTCATGCGAACGGTTTTTCCACATTAATTAGGCGTGCGATTGCTCTTTTTTTACTATCGTTATTAATCAATGCTGCTTTATAGTCTTCTATGAAGGCAATATATCTCCCTTCGTTATTACGTTGAGTCGTTGCTTCACAAAATGCTTCACATTCTTCATCTTCTTTCACCATTTCATTCTTCGGAATTTCTTCGGCAGCCCAGAATTGTTTGACCTGTGGATCAATGTCATCCAGTGTAGATATCAAGCTGTTTTTAAGGGTTTTCATTGCCCCAGGACCCGTTACAATCCATCCAAAGACTGTTTGCTGAGCTACTGGATGGTATGATTGTTCTTTTATTATTCCACTAAGATATTTCACCAATGACATCTGACCCTAATATAAGATAAATTTTTGCGGGTTTTTCAAATTCAGGGTCGACTAACTCTATATTCTTAAGGTGCTCCCATTTGTCTTTATGTACTTGTTCTTGTGGCAGGGTTTTTGTCAGGTTTTCCAGAAAGTAAGCCGTGATGGTAACCGAAAATCCATTACATTGCTTTGATGTAATTGTTATGCTTACACTATTTTATACAGAGCTTATTTCTTTTGCACCGATTCCAGTTATTATGGCATCAATTTTTGCTCTGTTTAGTTGTAATTGATTTGCAACTTCCTTTGTTATAAACGACTTCTGCGACCCTTGGTCTATTAGGGCTCGCAATGGTGTATTTTTAAAGTATACATTTGCTGTAGGTAATAAAACTGCCGCATTCTTCGGTATGACGCAGTTGTATGATTGCCCACCTGAATTACTAGGTGTATTATGTGTTTTTACTCTGCTTTCATCATGTAACAGGCTGTGATAGTTTTTGCTGTATTTCATGCAAATGCTCTTTGAAATGCACTTGTTTCTCACATAATTGCTGCTGAGACAATTTGAGCATAATTGCCTTTTTACAGCTGCCCATTTTTGACATGAGTAAATTTTATGTTGCTCTTTACAAATTGGACATTCTTTTACCTTCATCAAGCTGTGATACATTTGGTGGCTTCGCTTTTCATGTTTTGGTATTGTTGCCAGGCCTACCAAGGTTTCTACGCCTGAAACCTTGTTTCCAGGAACTGTAATATAGCTGTCAATTCTGGGTTTTTTGGGGTTTGCCTGTTGTTCGTAGAGCCTTGAAGTTTCCTATTTTTCGTAAGATTAGAAAACTAATCATAGGGATTCAGGAATCTGTTTCAATGCCAAGGTTTTTTATAGCACAAAGGCATTCTTTTGTAGTGTCCAACATGTTTTTTAATCCAGCCATTTGTCTCATCATTTAAATGAGGTAGAGATAGCAGCTTATTCATATATGTTGAGAACAGTATTCTTGTGTTGTTGTACCTGGCTGTTATTAATTCCCATGCAGTAACGTAATTTTCCCTAGTTACTAGGAGATGTTTTATTAAGTTCATTGGGTATTTGAATGTATAAGCGAATTGAATAGGTTAAAAAAGCTGGTCCATGAGTCATACTGGCCGTTGAACGTTGGTATGTTAATTTCCTATTCTCTTGCAGACTCAACCGGATTGTATTTGCTTCTGCGTAAGCTCTCTTATTCTTGTAACGATTTCCTGATGTTTCTCTTCAACTTTTTCGAAATTCTCATCTTTTAGGTATTCTGATTCTTGTTTATTTGGGGCATGGGAAATGATCTTCTAATGATATCTTTCCAATATGTGGTCAATGTTTCAAGATATTGCACACACGCTGTGACAGAGTTCTTTTGTTGCATGCATTCGTCTACCTTATTGACAACTCGATAAAACATTTTTATTTTATTGTGCTGCTTTTTGTAACGCTGCTGTTACTCTATGTCCATTAAATTATTAGAGCTTACCTAAGCTTCGTCATTATTGTTCTTTTGTAAATCGCCCTCCGTTTCATTGTCTGCGTCAGCTTGCTTTTCAGCTTTGGAGACTTTGGGTTGGGTTGCGCTTTGAGCTGGTACCGTACTTGTGAGTCGGTCTTGTAGGTTCTCCTTGAGTTGCTTCACCTTGTTGTAGTATTCAGTTTTGAAATATGCGTGATCAGTGTTCGCACTCCAAAACTCTTTTATTATCGAGTCGTCGATATCAAATTGTTTCCATAGTTTGTTGATTTTATCTATATTCTGCCGTCTTTCTTGAAGCTGGATCTTTCTTAAAGTTAATCAGTAACTTCTCTGCGTCTTCTCCTAACTTCTTTTGTTTGGCAGCAGTTTCATCCAGATTCAGATTTTGTAATAATTTTTTGTATTTTTTGGTTGAGCCCCCAAAATGTTAGAAAGTTTAATTGAAAAAACTTCTTATTGCCTGGCTTGAAGTCAATTTATTTATTAAAAATCTGATCTATTTATACAAAAATAATACTATATAAAATTAATTATTTCCCACAGAAATAGACTAGTAAGCAATTTTATGCATTTATAAAATTCATAATTTTCCCATGTTAACTTAACATACTTATCAAAGGTTTCAAATATACTTAAAGTAAAATTAACGAATAAAATATATGTAATTTGACTCCTACTAAAATATTGTGAGAAAGTTATGTATGGGAAAATATTTACATTAACTAAATAATAATGTTTGCAAATACATGTGCGTTAATATTAAGTTTGACAAATTAGCAATTTTAGCAATTTCGCTAATTTAAATATATGGGAAAATAATAATAAGAAATTTAGAATTCAAAATAATTGTTGTTACACAACACCAAGTGTGCTATTTTCTATTTGTAAAGATAACGATATAATTAACTGGGGTTCTACTACAAAATCACAACAACGCCTAATATTTTACTATGGCAAAATTTGCAATTTTATAAGGGACATTTTGCTATCAAAACTTTCATGTAACATTTCAAGTATAACTAACATAAGTTTCGACATAAAATTGCTATTTTACTCGTAGCTATAACTTCAGTGAAAATATATTTTATTTGATTTCTGAAAGATTGATTATTGATTTCAAATTTTCTTTTAGAAATATTACAAATTTATGTTTTTTCTCGGAAAAAATTTAATTTTTTTGTTATTCAGTAGCCATTACTGTTTTGTAATACATTATATTACAAGCTAATAAAATATAAAACTTTTTACGTTAATATTCTTGCAATTTTAGTTTTAAAAATAATGATCGAATGTTATAAACGTATTTAAATGTTTTATTGCAAATTCTGCAATGATTTTTTTTCATACTATACTTTTATTTTGCTCTTTAAAACCCGGTTTTTCTAGATCGAAATTTCCATTTTTTTTATTTTTAATGTGGTTAGTATTATTACCTTCTATTGACTGACTATTATTACGGTTATAACTATTTTTGCTACTTATAGAGTTACCACTTTCTTTCACTTTCTTTATTTAATAAAGCTAACATCAAAGTCTTTTTCTTTTCTTCTTGTTGTTTTTTATAATATCAATTATTATTAAATACATATTTTAATATTTGATCACTAATTTTAACGACCAGTCTTTATGAATGCTTAATTGACACTCATAGATACACAGTATGATGTAGTAATACCCCGCTTATATGACTGCTGCAAGCGTACATACTTGAAGGTTGCAGTTTATATGTCTATATAAACGTTATTTGAAATAAAGCAGCATCACTCAAGTCAACAAATATTTTTTCTTACTTGATTTAAAATGTTAACCTTTTGAGTGCACACATATTCCACTTTTGTCAAGCGATATTTTAAAAATGAGATCGTTTGTAAATTATCTAATTAGTTTACTTTCAACTTTCAAGAGCGAATGCACTCCAAAGGATAATAGTTAATTAAAATTCAATAGCTAAACGTCATTCTTGGCACTTCAAGCTGACATAGTAAAAACGTAGCTTAAGTTGCGAGCTGATTTCAAGTCATGTGCTCAAGCTCTAATATAAACGAAATATTGAAATAAAGCAAAAAGAAAAATGAAAGGTTTACATATGTGTACTGATTCATACTTTATGAAATATATTAGCAATTATATATTATGAAATATACCTGTGTATATATGTACAAAATGTAAAGAAAGTCTTTTCAAAATGAAAAATTTTTAAAAAATTTACTTTCAGTCTTTAATAAGTTGCATGGCAAGCATTGATTTTGATTTTTTTTTGTAAATGCCAGTTTATAGAACATAATTGCGTTAAAATAATTTTTCTAATGAGGAAACCACAAAAGAAAAGGGACAAAAACGAAGAAGAAAATTGTTAAATTTAATACTTTGCGTGGTAGCCCGTAGATTTGGAACAGCCCAAAGTCATCGTTTCATAGAAGTAGTTAATTATATCCGAATAAATCCATATCAATTTAATTCGAAATTTTGGACAATTCTTCTATTATATGTTTTATAAGGTCATTTTTGGATAAAAAAAATTATTTGATTTTATTTTTAGTTTAGCATTAATTTCATATCTATCGCATCAAAACAATTCGCGTTACACGTGAAAATATTAGGCGCTATTATGTACTATTTATTTAGCAAGGTGAGACAATCGAATTTAAGTTAGATTTTATAAATTGTATTATGTTGAATACGCTTTCTAAATAACATTAATAGACTAGACATGCATATAAGTATGTTGTATGTATAAATATAACTAAAAAGTCGATGTTTTTTGTGTAAGGCGTTATTACCGATTGGTTTGGAAAAATAATATTAGCATAACAGTTAAAAAAAAAAAATATAAACACTAGTAATCTAAAAAATTTTTAAATATTTTAGAATGTTGAAAATCATATCCTAAGGATATTGCGCAATTAATTGAAGTAGTAATAAAAAATAAACGTTTTTTTAAATAAAGCGTTTTTTTTTTGTTAAGAATTTTTATTTTTTAATTTTATTTCTATACATATTTTCAGATTTTTTTCAAATAAAAATTAAATAAAAAAGATAATTTGTTAAGTCTATATTGTAAAAAAATATATTATTGTGAAAATATTATATTGAAACTATTCTCAAATATTGTATTTGTACTAAAAGCTCTCTTAGAGCTCTTTCAATATTTTGCATAAACAAATTGTATATGATTGCCGATATATAAAGTTTAAAGAAAAATAGTAGATATTTCAATTAAGACTTATGAAAATGTATTGTTAAAATTACATATATTATAGAAAGATAAAAAACAATGAAAATGAAATGATTAAATTTCAAAATGTTAAAGTTCATATATTTTTGTTTATTTTTACCTTCATGGTGAATGTGGTGACGCATAATTTCATATCCTAAATAAATGGAGCATAGTTTATTAAGTTGGTTTCTATTATTTGCATAAAATTTTTCTAATGGTAAGTAAATGTGCTTTTATCATGAGCCTTAAAGCTTATCTCTTTTAAATCTTATTAGATCTTGTTCATAATCAAAAATCAGCAAAATTTCTGTTATTTCCAAATTTTGCTAAAAAATTTTTCATTTCAAATTCGATTTAAGCATATAATAAATATTTATTTTTTTAATTTGTGATTTGAGTGTTTAATTTTCTAAAAAACTTGTGCTCTCTTTGCTTATGGTATTATAATATATATATAATATACTATACCCATATAAGGTAATATTTTAAATAATAAAATAAGTATATAAAAATTAACATATTATTAATAAAGAAATTCTTATATATTAAATATATTGCCCATATAAACATTTCTATTGGTTTTTGTAAATAGTAACCCATTTGTCATAGGTTATCATTTGTGTTAAATCAAAGACATTATAATTACTGTACTTTTAAAGTTTTTGGTTAAATGTAAACACTACATCATTTACAAAATAAAAAACTTTTGAAGTTTTTAGGCAACTGTGCCGTACCGCTTTAAAGACGGCGATCTTGGTTGTTTAATAAACTGTTGCCATACAATATACATTGCAATTGGACAATATACATCGCGGTCGGTTACGTGCTGATCACATCAGATTTTTTTTCGATGCGCTACAAGAAGAGCTAAAAGTTAAACCCATGTAACATTTCTCATAAGTTTGCCAGTAAAACATGTTGTTGCTACTGTATTTTAATTATGGATTTTATTATGCATACAAACTGAAAAAAGACATATATCTAAAGTGGTTATAAAACATTTCTAAGGTCATATTTCCGCTGTGTAAATAAAATATTTCACAACCCGTAATATTCTTACTCAAAGTAGAAATAATTTGTGTCTTCACATAACGTAAACATATGTCAATGCTTATTATAGTCAAACGCGCTAAAATTATTTCAATTATATACATAGATAAAATAACTCTAACAGGGATAATATATAACAATTTCGTAGATAATACATTTTTGATATATGAATGTTGTAATAAAGATATATAAATAGCTTTTTTGATAATAGCCCTTTTTTGTTTTTCAAAATAAAATGTAGCTGAATAAAAAATATTTTGATGGACACTAGTTGATCGGTATTCAAATAAAAACATTACCAAATAAAAAAAATTATTTATAATATGACTGTAAATATTTCTCACAATACAAAATATATACATACATATACAAAATTATTGTAACCCATTCAGAATTTTTTTTAATTTAACTAGATAATTTATTTTTATAAACGACTCAAAAGTATAACTAATTTGAAAACATTTTATTTCTTAAAATAGCTTTTTTAATTATATTCAAAATAAAAATAAACCGGTAGGAAATACATTTATTTGAAAATTAGCTATAAAGTGTGTTGATCGTGATTTTAGTAATAGGTTCACTTTTTGTAACAATACTTGAAAATTTCTTAAGACGTTATGAACAAATTGAAATTTTTCGCGAAAAGAGACTTAAATACGCAATAAAGAACAATTTTTAGATAAGATCTTCTCTAATAATTAAAAACAATACAAATGTTTTACGTGAAAAAGTAATTCCGTATATATGTATGTATGTGCATGTAATTCAATTTTCATTTTGCTGCTTTTTTTAATTGTTTCCTTTTTTTGAGAAAAAATTTTTATACTTTTTTAATCTACGCAAAAAAATGTATTTTTAGTCAAAGTAATTTCTAAAATTTAATTAATATTTAATTGTAAGTATACGAATAGATGTTTTAAACAAAACGTTTGTGCAGGGTGTTTCGTGTAGTCGTACTTTGATATATACTACCGTGAGATCTTCGTTAGTAAGGAAAAAAATGTTTTACTTTGCTAGCAAAATTAAAATGTTATAAATTTTATAACTAATGTTATCTTAGTATTGACACCGTTGTTAGATTAAACTTTTAATTATATCAGTTAAGTAATTTATGTATATTTTCTTATGAAAAGGCATTTGCGGTTACTTCCGCTTTGAGAAATGTTTTATAAAATTTATAAACGCCAAAATGTCTGAGACTTTGAATTTTAGAGTAAAAAAAGCTGTGGTACTTTAAAACTAACTGAAATCGAAAATTGTTATTGTTTTCTCTTTGCATTTAAATTTAAATTTTTCACTGCAATTTAAATTTTAACTTTTTAATAATTATTTGCATTTTCTAATAATTTCAAAGACGACCATCAAAACGAGAATTTTGGTAAAAATTTTATTTATGCACCCTTTCGTAAATGGATTTGTTGGAATTTTAGTTTCCCTAAGGGAGCATTGACAAAAATTTGAATAAATATAATTCAAGTAAGTTATCTGAAGGCTACTTTTGGTCTCGAAGCTGCTTTATATAACTCCAGAAATGTTTTAACTGCGAAACATAGTTTATGAATATCGTCATTTGATGTAAATATAATCCCTACTATTTGGGCTCAAAGGCCTAAGGATTTGTGATTAAACAATAACAACATATGCAGAGTTCTAAATACCGTATAAATATCGTGTAACATTAATAGAATGTGTACATCGAGAAATATATTTAAAATACATTTTATTAATTTCCGAGCTAATTATTGAATTAAAATTTTCTTTCTATTTCTATTTTTCCTATTTAATATTTTTTACTCTTAACTTTATATTTTGAAGTTCCAAACCAAAATATGTATTTTAATTTCATTCCTGTAGTTATTTTAAGTAGTTATTTAAAAAATATTGAAATAATTTTTAATACATATTTCCAATAAAATTTTAAATGTTTAAATTTGCACACACATATGCGCTGTGTTACATTCATTACTACGTTTATACATAAATATGTAGCTATCTCAATTTAAAACATGTGTAAGTTAATGACATTCTTTGATAAGTTACTGTCAAAAAATTATATTATTTATTTCTATATAATTGTAGGTCTGTCTGGTATAAAACTTGAAAAAGCTTTAAAAAGAGCAGACAGTGACGATACTTCTCGAAAAGGACAAAAATTTAAAAAAAAAAACAAAAGGAAAAGTTGAAAACTATTAAAATCTTTATAAATCACAAATTAGCGTTAATTCAAAATATTTTTCAAACATAAACAGTACATATGTACATATATAAAGAAGAACACATGTTTTAACAGCTAAAAAGTTTTTAAACTACTAAATTTTAGTGGTTTTATTAGATTTAAACATTGATAGTCATTTTCTCTTATTTTGTCTCAACAAGTACAACAACTGGATGCATTGCATACTAATACTCTAACGTGTGTCTCGTCACTCTTCTATGAATAAAAAAGTCGATCAAAATGTAAAAAGTTTGTTTGAATTCTTTGTGCTTTGCACGCATTAAGTTTTAAATTATGTAGCGGTTCTTCGATTTTGAAGATTTTTTACTTATAAAATTTTGACTACCTTTGAGTTTTTCTTTTTGTAAAATAATATGTACATACAAATATATGTGAGCATGGAAAAAGATTACATTCATCCCTCGCTTTACGGAACTAATATGTTCCGGAAACGTTGTTCTTAAATTGAAATTCCATAAATCGAATCTTTTTTCTTACATTACGTTACAACCACATAATTTTTTTGCGTAAACTTATATATGTATGTAGGTACATACTGTCTTCTATATTTCTTTTAATTTGTAAAAAATATAGTAGGATTTTGTTATTATTACAACATTAGATAACAAGAATCAAAAAGAAACTTTAATTTTTGGAAAAAAAAGTAATTACACAATCACAATAGTTTTTATATATCTAGATATATATACATATGTATGTATGTTTAAGCAAAAAAATTCCTAGAAATAATTTTTTTTTAATTTGCATTTTAAAAACTTTCCATAAATCAAAGTTTTTTTTCTGTAAAAATAGACTTTTGTTTAATTTTTGAATTCCGTAAAACCGAAATTCCATATAGAGAGCTTCCGTTAAGCGAGAGATGAGTGTATATTACAAAAATTATCAATTTATATGTACATATGTATTATTGTTGTAAGACATATTGGCATTTATTCATTGGTTGTTGTTTACAAAAATGTCTAATAAAAATAATTAAGAAAAATTATTAAATGTAAACCATTTTAAATATTTTTTGCAAAAACTTTTAAGAGATGTTTTTATACGGTTTCAAATTAAAGCAAGCACTAGTAGTAGAAACAAAATTTGTGTTAATTTATGTAACTTTTTGCGCAATAGTTTGTGCTGTGCATAATGTGTATTTTCACTTTTTCGTCTCCCCTTTTAAACAAATATTCAAGGTTATATTTTTATCTTTTCTCATCACTATTCAAACTCCATTAGAAAATAAATCATTTTCTTTAATTAAATTTTTATTGGTATATAATTAACACGCACTAATGATGTATACATACACCCAGCGCAGAAAAAACCCTCGCACGGTACTCTTTTAATAAATTCTTTTAAAATACGGTATTTAAATCAAGTAAACACAAAAATTTGGTTCAAATTTTTTCAAGATATTACATTTTTAACAATTTTAAATAAAATTTAATACGAAAAAAATAAATGCATATCCAGGAATTTAAAATTTTTAAACCCAATGGTCATAATATAGAAAAACATCAAAATTTAAACTTAAAAATCAAGGTTTTAAAATTCATTCATTCACAATATCTTAAGTTTAACTAAAAAATTACACATTATTGTTGAAATTGCAAGTAACCAGTAGATTAATAAAAAAAAAAATATTAATAATAGAAGGTATAACCATGGTAATTAACATTTAGTACTTGGTTGAAAAACCTCTTGCTTTAACGACAGCTTCAACCCTTCGAGCCATTGAAAAATACAAACTTTCAAGGTATTCGACGTTTATTTCCTCATACCAAACCTTCTCAATGATGTTTTTCATCTCTACTAGAGATTGTGGCCATTCAGCTCGGATTTTTTTACCCATCATACTCCAGCAATTCTCAATGGGATTGAGGTCTGGACTGTTTCCAGGCCAAGGAAGTGACGAAATCCCTAAATCAGTCTTGCAGTTTCGAACC